GTGCGTGTGTATGTGAGTGCATGCATGTGTGTGTGCATGCGTGCGCGCGTGTGTGTGTGTGTATGTGAGTGCATGCATGTGTGTGTGTGCGTGTGTGTGGCGGATGTGTGCCTGTGCAGGTGTGCAGAGGCTGGAGGAGGACACTGAGGGTGACCTTCCCTCTCACCCCCCACCTTATCCAGGATCTCTGACTGAACCCGGAACTAGGCTGGTAGCTAGCAGGCTGCAGCAATCCTTCCTGTTTCTGCACCCACATTGCTGGGGTTGCAGCTGAGCTCACGGGCACACAAGCTTCTTTGCAGATGCAGGGGATCGACATTCCCCTTGCCCGCTTAGTAGGTCCCTACTACCAGGTCTCCGCAAATAGTTCTGCTCGACAGTCCCTGTAGCCTGGGAGATGGAAGGGACCATCCAGTCACGTTCCTAACTTGAATTTTTTTTTCCTTTTGGGTTGTTTAAGGTTCTGGAACTGGTGAGATGGCTCGGTGGTTAAGAGCACTGGTTGCTCTTCCAGAGGACCTGAGTTCAATTCCCAGCAACCACATGGTGGCTCAGAACCATCCGTAATGGGATATTGACTCCCTCGTCCGGTGTACATGAAGACAGAGCACTCACAAACATAAAAATAAATTAAAAAAATTGTAAAGAGAACTTTCCCATGGCATGGAACCCTGGGAAGTTTTCAGGGTGCCTGCTGTGGGCATCAGCAACACCTGACAGATGAAGAGTGGGTCTAGTGAAGGGCGGAGGAGGAGGTGTCTCACCAAGGGTCGGTGGCTGGAGCACCGCAGAAGATAAAGCAGAGCTGCTTGATAAGGAAGTGTTGAGAGTTTCAATAGAGTCCATGTGACCCCAGAAAGAGAATTTATCTAGGCTGAGATGGAGAGCTACAAGATGGAACTTGACAAGGCTAGGCAGACACAAGCAAGCAAGCAAACAAAAACAAAAACCCCAAACATGGGGCAGGGCTCCAGCAGATGGTGAGACTGCATCACAGCCCTGTTCCTGGCTCAGATAATCATCTGGCTACGAGTGATCTCTTGACGGGTTCTCAGAAATACACGCAAGCCCCCGAGAAAGGCACAGCATTTTCAGGAAGAAGGCAAAGCTTTGCCAAGGGAGGACCCTCTGCTCTTTCCCACTTCCTCCTCCATGCTTGGAACTAGGATGTGCTCCATGGAGCAGCAACGGCCTTCCCGTAATCATGAGGCAACCAAAAGAGCATGAAGGTCTATACTGCACATTTGGTAGAACAGAAATTTGTAAAGAGTTTGGATCCTTAACAGTTTCTTTGAAGTGTCCCGCTAGCCTAGCACTCTTTTGTTCTCTTTGTTGAGACAGGACCTCACTCTGTAGTTCAGAATGGCCTTAAGCCCTCAGTCTTCCTGTCTCACCCACCCGAGTGCTTGGAAGACAGTCATGAGCCACCATGACTGGATACCTGGACTTGTTATCTATCCTACAAGACACAGAGAGCAACGTGTTGACCTCCTACCCAAGCAGGAAGTATATCTGCTTTGCTGTTGACCATGCTTCCAAGTACAGGAACCAGCCTCCCCCAGAGCTGCTCTCTCACGAGTTTACGTGGGTAGAGACTTTTGGCTACAGGGCTATATCCTTGGGCTGACACTGTCCTATGCCTAAAGACACTGACTGCATTCCTTTTCTTGCAGCTCAACAATCCATTTGACACAATGGGGCAACAGGTCCAGCCAGGATGGCTGCAAGAGGGTGGGTCCTGAGGAAGGTTCTAATGGCCTTCCTCCTGCTCCTGCTCTGCTATGGTCCTGTCCACCATTCTCTGAAGTGGAGAACACTTGGGAACAAGAACTGAAGGCTTCTTTGCTTAGTTTCCTGCAAAGGTGTCTCAGCGTTTTTGGCACAAAGCCGATGGTGATGTCCTCAGGGGTCACCATTTGTCCTCTTCTCCTCGGCCCCTTCACTCTAGGCTCCTGCCCAATCAGCCACCTGGTCTTCCAGATGTCCCTCCATACCTACCTCAGGGCCTCTGTGTGTCATCTGCCTGCAAAGCTCTGAGTCTACTCCATGAGCAAACACACACTCTCTCTTCCTAGAAGCCCACCCGATGTCCCGATGACCATGACCCTGCTGAGAAGTCCACCCGATGCCCCGGTGACCCTGCCAGTTTGTGCCTTTGGTGCTCCCTCTCCCTCTCCAGACCCTCAATGACTGAGAACAGGAAATGTCTGCATAACACCCAACACAAAAGGGGGGATAAGAAAAGAAACACATGCTGAGACTAAATAAACAAGGGGAGAGAGAGCTACTGCACTCAGTTTAGGAAACTGGGGAACTAGGGAATGAATCCAGGGCTTGGGACACACCAGGCCAGCCCTCTATTGACTGAGCTACAATCCAGGCCCCACACTAATTTTGCCAGACCAGGAGCTGCACTTTGGGGACTGAAGTTAGCTTTATCTTGTGGTTTAGGGAGACCCCCTCCCCATGTTCCAGGTATACGCTGCAGAGTTCAGAACCGACCATAACGACCCAATAGCTGTAGCAGAGACCCACGGTGCTCTGGCCACTGTTCCGCGTGGGTTGACTCCGTCTTTTGTTAGTTTGTTTTGAGATAGGGTCTCAGTATGTAGTCCTGGCTGGCCTGGAGCTCACCAAGAGCTGCCACCCAAGTGGTGGAATTAAGGGCATGCCCCACCACTCCTGAGCAAACTTTGTTCTTATATCAAAGGGATGCCTTGGTGGTCCTCACTGTGCACACAAGAAACAGATTCAGAGCACCGAGTCAAGAGTCTAAAGTTACAAGGCAAAGAACACAGGGCAGCCCTGACCACTCCGGGCCGCCTTGGCCCAGCACCCCGGGATGACCTCAGGTACGAGCCCCACCCTCCCCAGTGCCCCAGGAGCCCCACTGCCCGAGTCTGCGCTGACCCTGCCTTGAGCTGTGTGAGGGCCTCTTCCACTCTCGGCTGGTTGTATCGCACCATGTAGCTGTGCATATCAGGGTAGTTGCTCCGGATGTTCTTCTCCGTGGACCCGTTGGGCACCGTCCCAAACTTGAGGGGTGGGTATTGCTCCTGGGGTCGCTGGAACTGGAATAGAAGGGGGAGTTATTAATGTACCCTCTAGGAAAAACCCAAACCAGATGTCCCATTCTGGAGAGCCTGCAAGTTAAGGGTCAGGCTCAGAGCGAGCTGGCAGAACTACACTTCCCTTACTATAGAAGGTATGACCAACATATTCTGTTTATTCTACCGTTCTGCCTCCATTCCTCCGAAAACAATGCTTAATGCAACCCATGGCATCTAGCCCACAACCCTCTAACAGCTTGAGATACAGGGCTAGCTATTGTAGTCTCACAGCGTGCCTCACGGCTGCCATTCCTGCGTGCTGTTGGATGGGCACCACAAGGCAAACCCAGAGGGTGGGCATTTGGATTGTTTTGATGGAATCGTTTCAGGCATGGTGTATTTAAGCAGTAAAAATTTGGAGTTGACTTTATTGCAATTCCTGTTTGAGACAGGGACTTACTATGCAGCCAGTCTGTCCTTGAACTCATGATCCCCCTGCCTCCGCCTTGGAGGACTGCACTTACAGGCATGCACCACTAGCCTGAGATTGACTCCTGTCCGTCCTGGTGCTCAGTGTTATTTCTACATCGTTAGTAATTCGTTGCTGATGTGTTTTACTCCAGCGTGTCCTCCAGCCGTGTCACAGAGCCAGTCTTCATGACCGTGCTAGGATGTGCTCGTCTATTGGCACAGCCGCCCCTGGGACAGCCTCTTTCCCCGGGAATGTCGGCGCCGCTCATCTCCTTTCTGAACCTTCCATCTGCTCTCGAATCCCTCTGGGGCAGTCTCCCAGGACCCTTGTGCCCTGGGACAGGCGACAAGCCAGTCAAGCCCGCCCCCTGCACATACCTTCCGGTCGCTGAGCCCAGATACGGTATCCACATACTCCTCCTGGATCATGAAGGCCGCCAGATTGGCTGTGTAGCTGGCAAGAAAGATGACAGCAAAGAAGGCCCACACCAACACCATGATCTTGCTGGTTGTGCCCCGAGGATTCTCCACTGGCACCGAGTTGTTGAACACCAGGGCCCACAGCAGCCAGATGGATTTCCCGATGGTGAAGGTGGAGCCACCGGGGCCTGTGGGGGGGCCAGGCCAGGACATGGGCCTCACAGTCCCTCCACTCCGCAGCAGAGGGAAAGGACTGCCATTCCTACCCCAGGGCTGCTGTGTAGGGTCAGGTAAGGAAGGGGACTCACGTTTGCCCGTGGCCAGGCTGCGGTTATAGCCCACAGGACTGAGGTACTCAAAGATGAAAACGGTGACAGCAACCACGGTGAGGCACATGACGAACATCATCACCCACACGGCGGGGCTGTAGGGCTCTGGGGACACGGGATGTGTCAGCCAAGCAGAGGCTTGGGGACCAGGAGGATCCCACTTGACTCCATCCTGTTCTGGTCCCTTTCCTGGTCACACTACCTCAGGGACACCCTATTGGCACACAGACTCCTTGTGGCGGTCTTTCTCAAAGAGAGCTACTGTGACCATCTCCGTGGTTTTCAGCCCCCTGAGCCAGCTCCCTACTAAATGTTTCCTGAGCCCAAGATCTGAGCCTCCACCTTTCTAGCTTTCCCTCAGGACCATTCATTTCATCCCAGGTTCTGCATCTTGGCAGCCATGACCACCCAGCTCCAGGCCACACCCCTTGCCACCCACGCTTCTTTCTCACAGAGGATAGCCTTTGCCCCTGCTCTTGTTCCTGCCCTTCAAGCTCCTTGGACCTGTCCCTCCCCCCACCCCCATCCCCATGACCAGCGACAAGCAAGCATGACCTCTCTGGTACCATCTCCCCAGCCTCATGGTGCCCAGGGGAAGGGATCTTTCTGCTGTCTTCTCTGAGGAGCCTTGCTCGGATTGCCAAGAGCAAGAGGACTGACAGGACTTGCTGGCCTGGCCCCTTGCTCACTTCTGTTGTCCCCAGCTCGAGAGGTGGTGTCTCTACCCTTGTACCACAGAGCGGCTTCTTGATGGCACCCCAGATCCATATACATTTGGCTGCTGCCCTTCCTCTGCACACCTCCATCCTGTGTCATGGGTCATCGCAGTGGCCCCCTTGCTAGCTTCCTGCTTGCACAGAAGCTATCAGCAACACACATCTGAGCATTCTTCATTACCTTCTCAAGGTCATCCCTGGCCTCCAAGGAAAGAATAAAACCCGAACTTCCTATCAGAGTGTCCATAGTCCAGCAAGCCAAGACACTCCCCCTTTGCCTTTCGGTCCCTCACAGGCCACGAAGGCCACTCACACATGCCTCAGTTTCCAGACCCTCCAGCTGGTGGCCACTGTTCTTTCCCTCAGATCTTCACATAGGTGAAATGCCTCCCTCAGAAAGGCTTCTCCTTTCCCCAGCATCAGCAGCCCGTGCCCCCATCTCTCTACAGCTCAGCCTAATGTCTCATGATAGCTATCACCATTAGGAGTGGCCTAGTCTGTATCCTCCAAAAGTAGGCAGCTCCTCAGAGACAAGAATTTGTCTGTCTTAGTCTTATGTTCTTGGATTCAATCAAGAATTCAATTCAATTCTTGGGGGGGGGGTGGAACTAACTAAACAAACAAGCAAATAAAAAACCCTGTATCTTTGTATTGGGGGTATCCCTGGCCTTGAAGGCACTCTTACACTCTGGAGGCAAGCAGAGATGGAGACATAAAGGGTAGTTGCATGTTCAAGGCCAACTTAAGCTACACAGTAAGTTCATATTATTAAAAAAACAAAAACAAAAACAAAACAAAAAAACAACTAAGAATAAACTGGGCAGTGGTGGTGCCTGCCTTTACTTCCAGCACTCAGGAGGCTGAGGCAGGTAGATCTCTGTGAGCCCAAGGCCAGCCTGATCTACATAGACAGGACAGCCAGGGCTACATAGAGAAACCCTATCTTGAAAAACCAAAACCAAACAAACAAATTATTGGGCTGGAGAGATGGTTCAGCTGTTTAGAGCACTGGCTGCTCTTCCAGAGGACCTGGGTTCAATTCCAGCACCCACGTGGCAGTTTCAAACTATCTGTAACTCCAGCTGCAGGGGATCTGGCACCCTCGCACAGACATACATGCAGGCAGAACACCAATGTACACAAAAAAAATCTTTAAACCAAACCAAACCAAAAAGCTGGCTGGGTGGGAGGGCACACCTTTAATCCCAGTACTTGGGAGGCAGAGGCAGATGGATCTCTGAGTTCTGAGTTCCAGGACAGCCAGGACTACATAGAAAGAGCTTGTCTGAAAAAAACAAACAAACACAAAACAAAACAAGCAAAAACTCAAATAAATGTGAGTGCAAATCCACTGCGAGGGATAGCTCCTGAGCTCAGGCGTGCTGACTTCCTGTTGAAATCCCTACCAGGGCAAGTATTTCTCCCACTCCTCCACAGATCAGGAACCCGAAGCTTGGAAGTGATGTCACTTCATGGGAATCATACACCCGTGCAGGCAATCCTGGGGTGCGGCCTAGGCCACGGGTGGAGACAGTTGTTCCAGCCTTAAGTGTGACTCCCCCCCTGGCTGGCTCACCGAGGAAGGCAGAGGGGGACACGGTGCCATTGCTGCGTGCCACCATGACGCTGATGCCGGTCTCCACAAAGGGGACGGAGAAGTCCACGATCTCCGACCGCTCCTCATTGATGGTGAGAGAGCCGATGGCCATGTCCGCCCGCTGATAGAACACCTGGGTGGATCGAGCAGTTGTCAAGAGCTCAGGGGACAGAGGCCAACGCCGGGCAAAGCCTGGCCCTGGGAGACAGTGATGATATGGGAGACAGGCTAGAAGGTCTGGGTGATGAGTGAGAAGGGGAACAGAGGGGCGGGGAAAGTAAGGGAAAGAGAACAGAAGCAGAAGCAGAAGAGGTCTCTTCCCCACCCACTGCCCACATCACTTGAGTAAGGCCTAGGGATCCAACCTCCCCGCCCCGCCCAGTTCTTCAAGTTCCATCTTCCAAAGCATCTCCCTCCCAGACCCGCCCCTCCCCAGGAGTTCCACCTTCCTAGCCTTCTCTGTTGTCCTCCAAAGTCTCTTCTGGCCGCCTCCCCTAAATTCTCTTGGCCCCGCCCCAGTCGTCCTAGTCCTACCCAAGACCCCACGTCAGGCCACGCCCTTACCAAGCCCAGCAGTCTCCTCTGGCCACGCCCCCTGCTCCAGACCGCCCTCCTCTTGGCCCTGTCCCTAGAATCCTCAAGATTCTCTCCCACAGGTTCTGTCCCGCCTGTCTTACCTCACCAATCATGCCATTCCAGACACCATCGATCTTCTTGCCATGCTTGCCGTTGGTGACCAGGTAGAGGTCGTAGCTGAAACCGATGGTGTGCGCCAGCCTCTTCAGAATGTCAATGCAGAAACCCTTGCAGCACCGCTTCTCCGGGCGGGGAGCGTCAGGCGGAGGGCTGCGGGGAGCGACCAGGCTTGGAGAGGTTGGAGACCACTGTTAGGCTCTCCCATGAGGTGAGGGACAGGCAGCAGCTAAAACTATGGATAGTGCTTTCTTGGGAGATGAAGCTTAAGAATCTCTCGACTTTCCCCAGGTCACCCAGCGGGAGGGCTTGAGGGGCTGGGGCCTGACCGACAGGCTTCTGGGGAAGAACATTCTGAGGCCGACCCGGCTGGATCCGGGGCTGTCACCTGTGGGTACGGTTGAGCTGGCTCCGGCAGGGGACCGAGTCTCTGATGCAAGTGCCGCTGATGGGGTCTGCAGGCTCCACGATGACAAAGGGTCTCTCCTCCAGCGTGGCCACAGTGAGGTGCTGTGTGTCATCCACAGGCTGCAGGAAGCGGCCATAGCGGGACCACAGTGGATACTTGAGGCGGAGAGTCTGTTGTTCCCAGCTGCCCACCTTGGCAGGAACAAAACAAAACAGACAGTCATGCTTCCATGCTTCATGGAGCGCTCCAGGGTGTCCTAACACTCCGCCCCTCCTCTCTCACGTTTGCCCCTCCTCTCTCACGCCCAGAACTCCCATCTTCCTCCAGAACCTAGACACCTCGCTCCTTCTTCCTTCGGACCAGAACCTGTGCCTTCAGTTATGACTTCCCACAGAGCCTTGGAGTGTAGACCTGTCTCCTCCCTCAGATCCGGGGATACAGCTCCCAGCCTTTCTCCCAGGGGTTTAGGTGCTCTCCCACAGGTGCCTGACACCTGTTTGGCAACTCACCACTTCCCATGTCCTGTCTCTGGTGAGGGAGATGACCACCAGTGAAGGGTTCACCAGAAAGCCGTCCTCATTGAAGGAGTAGTCCCGGTTATCCCAGGTGATGTTCATGAAGTACCTGCCCAGGTGAAAGGGTGGGGGCCACATGAGGGCCTGTGCTGGCTCCCTTGGTTGCTGAGGGCTGAGCCTCCTTTCTGTTGGCCAGCCCCAGTCCATCTCTGAGTTCTCCTCAGTTGCCAGAATCCCGGGACCGGGCCCCACACCGTCAGCTTGCTGTTGACCCCCTGAGAGTTCCTGCCTGCCATGGTCTCACTTGTTCCTGAACCTCCCCATGGGGTGGCTTCCCATCCAAAAACTCTTAACAGCACTAAATGCTGTGTCAATTTGAACACAGGAAGTTTCCTGTCTCCAGGCCTTTGTAAAGGCTGTGCTGTACCTAAAACACCCGTCTCTCTTCCTGACCAGCTCTGTCAAGTTGTAAATACTGAACTCAAATACCCCTTCTGGGGAGAAGCTGCCAGGGAATCTCTGGGTCCCTAAATGCCCTCTCTGTACTGGGGTACAGCACCCACACTAGCTCGCTAGTCAGCTGCTCCCTCTGTCCCCACCTCTCCTCCACCCCCAGAGTCCTCCAAGGCCCTCCCTGGGGCCTCCTGCCTGGCTTTCCAGTCTGCATCCTACTCCAGAGGAGTCTTTTCTGCACCTCGAGCTGATTCCATGCCTGCCTCCCCTCCTCAGGGCCTGCCTTTGGCTCCCAGATCTCAGAACAAGGTCTCTGCTGTTCAAGCATGCACACAAGGCAAAGCTTTGGTCCCACCCACCTTCCTGGCCCCAGCACCTCAGCACCTCATCTGGTCTGTGCTATAAAGGCCCCACGTTTGCCTGTTTTCGCCCCCTCTTGGGTCTTTCTGTACGCCTCGATCATGCCTGCTCTGAACGAATGGTCTCCGTATCTGGTGAATGTGGTGGACACCCTTAGGTTGAAGGTGGCCTGAAGGACCTGCCTGTGTCTCCTTTGGGCCACTCTCATCCACACAGATGGCTGAAGCCTCATGGATGAGGCCTTGGTCGTCCCTCTCTTTATTCAGGGTTTCCAGTGCTCTGCTCCATCTATGTGCAATGATTTTAAAGAAATACATGTGCCTGCATGTGCGCCTGAGTGTATTTATGTGCAGGGGCCCATGGAGGCCAGAAGAGAGCACATATGTAAATAGTTGTGTGTGCTGATATATGAACTGGTATGTATATATATGGCATATATGTATGATGGATATATATGATCTATATGGTTGTGAGATACCCAATATGGCTGGGTCCTCTGCAAGAAAAGCCAGTGCTCTTGACCGCGAGCCCTCTCTCCAGCTTCTCCCATCTATATTATTTTAACTCTAAGTTTGACCTACCTGCTATCACCTAACCCCCTAGGCTTTTTATTTCACACCCCCCATTTTATTTTCATCTCAGAGGCTGCCGCCTGTGGACAGTTCTTTCTTTTCTTGCATTCACCGTCTCTCTCCCCCTTCACTCTCCCTCATTAGACTGTCAGCTCTGTGAGAGCAAGGGAATTATTTAAAATTTTTTTTCGGGTTTTTGTTTGTTTGCTTCTTTTTGAGTCAGGGTCTTATTATATAGCTTTGGCTGGCCTGGAACTCACTATGTAGACCTAGGCTGATCTTGAACTCACAGAGCTCTGCCTGAGTGTTAAGATTAAAGGCATATACTACCACACTCTATTCTGATTCTTTTGTGCCTAACGCAGTGCTTAGCACATAGCCTCTCAGTAAAGGGTTTCCACTGACTGCACATTTGGCCAGTAGTTCATCCTTAGGTCAGTTTAGGATCTGGCCCTCCAGGGAACCTCCCTGACACTAGCTTACTCCACAGCCTGTGGTGGGGAGCTGGATGTTGTTTTACAGTGAGACCTGTAGAAAGGAGAAATTACGGATCAAGATCAAGACCTGAACAGTGCCTGGGAAAAGTGAGCCCGAGGGGGGGGGATCAGAAAGACAAAATCAGGAGATGAAAGAGTCACTGGCCCGGACTTGGCCTGGATTTCTGAAGTCTGCTCCCTGCCTGTTTATCTTTCCAATGAACCCTCTTTCTCCTGGGGAAATTTAAACGAGACTGCTTTTTTGCAACCAAAAATGTCCTGGTTGGGCAGGATTCCTCCCCCACATTCCCTAAGGCTGCCGCTATCTCCATTACTGCAAGCCTCACACTGTGTGGCCATTATTCCCATCGCTGTATGTCACCTCTTTAGGCCCTTCGTTCTTTGAAGAAGTCTGTGGTCTTATTCATCCCTGTGTTCCCAGGGCCCAGCGTGAGCCCTGGTTCCCAGCGGGTGCCCGGGATTTAGGAACACAGGATGCTTTTCTCACCCTCTTGTTCTGGGGTCTTGATTCCCAGCTCACTTGTCTGCTCTCCACCCTTAGGTCCCTCTTATGCACCTACCGCCTCCTCCCAGACTTGGGACTGATGGCCTCCCTTCTGCTGCTCTGTTACCACGTGCACTGTTTTCCCCACTCCCAAAGCTTTCTGTGGTAGCTGTCACTCAGTTTCCTTCTAATGTCACAGTGTGTAAGCTGGACCTGCGGCCACAAGGGCGATATACCAGCCTACTGTGCAGCCCATCCAGGCCACATGCAGAGACGGAATAAAGTGTCTAGCAGTCAGTACAGCACAGGTGCTAGCCAATCAGGATGAGAGCCCAGCCAATCAGCGTAGATGCTTAACTCATCAGAATGGATGTGCCTTAAACAACCAGTGGGTCGTTCCTGACCATGTGACAATGTTTTCACTTATGTGAGACCTGTGCCCTCCACATCACTTCACCTTGCTCGCTCTCTGCTCTGTCTTTCCCCTCTTCGTTAGACTAGGCGCATTCTGCCATGATTACAAAGCAGCTTCTACTGTACAAAGAGTAGAAAGACACTGAATCGCCACATGGACCCCAGTGTCTCGACAGCCAGGACTGCCAGACACTCTGGGATATTGTGTGATGGAGGAACAAACTTCTGCCTTGCATGGACCACACCATCACTGGGTCTTTTTATCACTGAGGCTTATCTCATGGTTTAATCCAGTATAAGATGCTCTCAATTGCCACTGTTTGTTTGTTTGTCTGAAATTTATTTAATTTTATGTGCGTCGGTCTTTTGACTGCACTTATGTCTGTGTTTGATCCCCTACAACAGGAGTTACAGACCTGTACTTGTACCTGGGAATTGAACACAGGTCCTTTGGAAGAGCAACCAGTGCTCTTAACCGCTTTTACTTACAAAGCAAACAAGCAAACAAACCCAGAAGCACTGCCAATTAAAACATCGTAACTGGTAGATCATAGGACATTTCTTGATTTCAAAGACATTAAAATATAAAAAGTGGATATTTTTGTTTTAGATATTTTAGCCTTGTTTCCTGCCTCCATCTCCAAAGTGCTGGCACGGCAAGTCTCTACTGCCACACTGAACTAAAATTACACATCTGTGTTTTGCTTTGCGTTACTTGAGACAGGGTCTCACTGCAGCCCGGGCTGCCCTGCAGCTGGTTATGCAGACAAGGAGGACCCTGAGCTACTGACTCATCTGCCTCCGCTCCTGAAGGGCCCGGGATTAAAGTCTTTCACCACTATGCCCAGCCTTAACTTTACAGATCCTCAAGTCATGAAGTAATGGTAGCAAACTCTGCGTATCAGGTGCTTTCCAAATTACCTGGCAACCCCAGAAAGGAGACCCAGCTGCACCTGTTTACAGAGAAGGAAATCGGATCCAGAATGGGCTCCTTCCCAGGCCACTCATTTGTGAGTATTCCCAAGGCTTCCCGCCAATCACCTGTGCAGGCTCTCCCCTCGGTGGGTGCGGTTGTGGGCGCGGCAGTCATGACCCAACTCAGGCAGGAAGCCATAGTCTCGCAGCAGGGCCTGGGCACCTCTGGCAACCACCGCCACACCAGCGGCCACTCGGCGTGCCAAGTCGTCACGCCAGCCAGCAGAGCGTACTGCGAACAGCCCGGCAGGCAGCGGGGCACCTCCTGGCAGAAGAGGCTCCCCAGGGACCCCGGAGCCCCCTCCTCCAGCCAGCTGGGGTCCCACCATGAACCAGACGTAGCCAGGCCCAGTGAGGCCCGCCTCTTCTGCTGCCCGGAAAACAGGCTCTGCCTCCTCGCGGGCACAGAAGAGCAGACGGATCTGCGCGCTGACGCTCCGGAGCTGCGCGCCCAGTACGGCCTCACCAGCCCCAGGGTCCAGGGTCAGCGCTCCTCGATGCTCCCAGCCCACCAGGCTGCCATCAGTCAGCACCTCGATGTATGACAAGAAGGCCCGATGGCCGGGGGCACGCGTGGTCACTGCCACAAAGGATGTCCAGTCATACTCCTCCAGCACCTCAAAAATGACCTGCAGCTGCTGCTCTGTGGAGGAGCCGAGCTGTAGGAAGGTGGAGCCCTTCTCCTGCGGGAACAGCGAGGACCAGTGAGCAGACCACAGTCGCCTGAGCCAGTGCCACCACAGCTTCCAATATGGCTGCTCACCAGGCCTGGCTCCTTTGTCCTTGTGGCACTGGCTTCGGCTGGATCATGTTTAGTCACATACCTGCGTTCTTCCAGGTTCACCTAAGAAAGCTCACCCTGAACCGCATTCTCCTGTCTGAGGGCAGCTGTAGAGACCCAGAAGGCCTAGGGTCTCAGAGTCACAGGAGGGATGGAGCCTGTGCTGCTCAGGACATGGAGGAATGCTACCCCCAGTCAGAACTCCCTGTTGGGATTTTGTATGGATGAGAAACAACTTACTGGGGTGAGCTGCTGGGGTTTCAGGGTTTATCTGTGGCAGCACGTGCTACTGCTACTATGAATTCACCCAATGTCTTCCCAGTGTTTGATACATTGTAGCCCCATTTGCAACGAGCAAGACTACAATTCCCAGCATGCAGTGAGGCTGCTGAAGGGCACTCTTCTTCCCAAGTGGAGTAGACTTTCCCTTTAATTTCCCTCTTACCCCCAGGACCCCCATTTCTGTCTCCTCAGTCAGAATCCAAATAACCCCAAATAAACATAAGAGCGTCTTTAGGGTAGGCCCTTTCCTTTTCTCTCCCCGCTCACTTAGATCCTTGGGTTTAACTATTGTCTTCAGCACTCTCCAGTATAGTAGCCATAATTTGGATTTGTAGCTATCCAAATTAAAATGAAACGAAACTGGAAAAAAATGTGGCTCCTCAGCTGCCACATGCAAGTGCTCCAAGGCCACCTGTGGCTTTGCAGCTGCCTGCTGGATGGAGCAGCAGGTCCATCTTCCTCACTGCAGGGAGTTCTGGGGAATGTGCCCAAGGCTCTTATCTTTGGGTACAATTGCTCCTGTGAGCTCCAGACAAACCAATCCCACTTCTGGTCACCATCCCAACCCAGGATTTCCACACGAAGGCAGACTACTTGGCTCTCCTCCTCTCTACAGCAGAACCACCAACCTGCCGCCCTCCCCTCCTCCCTCTGGGATCTCATATATCATCAAATAAAACAGAAGACGACCCTGAGCGTCTGCTCCTCCAGTCCCCTCCTGAGTGCTGGGACCACGGTTAGGCACTGCTACCTCCATGTTGTAAGTGGACATGGAGCCCAGAACAGTTATGCTAGGCAAGAACGATAGCAACCAAACTCCATCCTTTCCTTGCTTCCCTGATGCTTACATCCAGGCCACTTCCAAGACTCCCTGGCTCTGTGTTCTAACCTAACCTTAGTGATCTTCTTTCCAATGACCCCCCATCATGGCTGTGCTTGACTAGACACTGCAGTAATCTGGCGCATTTATGCTTCCATTCCCATGTCTTTTAAGCAAAGTGATCATTTCGGAATATTAATTGGAACACATCTCTTCCCAACTGAAAACATTCCAATAATTCTACTTTAGAAGCAAAACCAAAGAAAGTAGTCACTGTGGCCTGAGACACAAGCCCTATATGAACCAACCCTCAGCGTCTGTCTGAGCTCATCTCTGCTTTCCCAGCCCTTCATCGGCTCCAGCCACTTCACCTTGTTCTTTGTCACACATAATGCTTCTTTAAAGCTTTGCCCTTAGCTGCTGTCCCTCCCGGGACACACTCCAGCTCCGCCATGCTCCTTCCTCCTCCTACCCCTCATCTTCCTTCAGGAGCAACAGCACCGATAACATCTCCTCAGGAGACTTCTCTTGATTATCATCTATTGGAGCCTTAGCCTCAGTCATTACTGGTTTCCCTTAGGGCAGATTTCACTATCTGTTGCCTAGTTTGTTTCCTTCATTAGAGCGCAAGTTCCACATGACTGAACCTCCCCCAACTCAGTCTTATAACCCTGAACTTAAACAGGCCCCAGGCCTCACAGGCCTTCCTGCAATTGCATGCAAACAGCAACCAGACTTTCTCCTTTGGCATATGCCAGTGGGCTAGTGCTGGCTACAAGGCTGCTGTCCTGAAGAGAGGGGGCTGACTCACAGGAGACCTCGTCTGTCCCTAGGCAGGATATGGCTATGAAGGGACTGGGTCTTGGCATTCATCATAGCACGGCTGGAACAGCAAGGATAACATCCCTCCCACCCAAGGACCCCGAGGGAACTACATGTGTCCCTGAAGGTGATAGGCTGTGCACAGAATGGACAGTAGCGTTCAGTGGGGCACACTCAGCGGCCACGGAGGCACAAGGGACCATGTAAGCCCATGTTCCATGGAGGCAGCAGCCAGGCCTACAAATCAAGCCCAGAACGAGGAAGCTGGATAGAGGTCTTTCCCGGAATGTTTTGGGCAGACCTGAGCGTTCTGGGGTGCATTAGCGTGCTGCTGCGGCCTTCCTCGCTGAGGACTCGTGGGGGTCCACCCTCCCATGTGGCTCCCCCTTCAGCTAATCCCACTTCTCCGTGTCACCCCCCCCCCCCCCCCCCCCCCCCCCCCCCTTTCCCCCCCCCCCCCCCTACCCCCCCTTCCCCCGTCCCCCCCCCCCCCCCTCTCAGGCTTCACCTTTCTTTGCCCGAGTCTCTTCTTTGGTACCAAAAGCCCCTGCAGCCCACTGTCCCCACCCTGACCTCCCTTCAGGCTACCACCAGCACCAGTCGCTCCCTACTTCCGGTTTTTGGTTTTATCTGGCTGGGCTGGTTCCTTCCAGTGCCCAGTTCTGGGTCCTCGTTTCCCTTTCTTTACGGTTTGACAAGCTCCTTCTCAAACCCCACTCCAAGGGCCTACTTCCTCTCTTGGCGGGGTCCTTCCATTACATGTCATGGACCCGGCCTGCCCTCAGCCCTCTCCGCTGGACCCCGCTCCTTCCTGGAGCACTAGCCCTGTCCCTGGTCGACCCTTCCTCAATCCGCCTCTCAGAATCTACGGCTCTGCTCTCATTCCTCGACCTTCGGGCTCCACTTCCTCTGAGCCGTCCACCATGCCCGGTCCCTGCCACTGCCTGCCTGGATCCCTCACTACAACTCTCCCTCTTTCTGAACCTCATTCCTTTTCAACTAATTCTTCCCCTTGTTGCTCCAAGATCCATAACTCTTATTTCTGACCCTGTCGTCACATTAAATCTCTCTCTCTGGTTTTCCCTCCGTCCTCACTGTAACCCCCCTCCTCCCTGATCTGGCCCCTGTAGGTGGTCCCTGGAAGGCTTGTGAACCCTATAGGGCACCACATCTCTGCAAGCCAGACGCTAGACTTTTAACACCAGGATGGAAACTGACCAACGGACGGCTCCATCCCCCCTATAAGCCCCCCAAACCTCGATAAAACCCGCCCCCAACCTCTGGCCCTTCAGCCTCCTCAGGCATTGCCCCTCGACGAACCTCCCCGCCCCAGGTCAATCCAGACCACGTCGGAGCCCCGCCCCCGAGCCGCAAGGCCCCGCCCCGCGGCCGGCCCGCCCCTCGCGGTCGCGCGCACCTTGGGCGTGAGCACGAGCGCGGCGCCGCCGTGCACGGCCACGATGGGCAGCGAGGTCTGCGCCGACAGGAAGTCGAGAATGGGCGCGACGGCGGGCGCGCGCGAGTCGTCCTCGAACACCACGCCGTGCACGCGCAGCCCCGACAGCAGGTCGCAGAGCTGCAGCACTAGGCTGCGAGGGTCCGAGCCGTTGAGCACCAGCGCCACCGGCCGTACGTCCAGGCCCGGGCTGCGCACTGCCGCCGCTACGGCCGGGCCCAGGCGCGCCGCCTCGGCCGCGTACGCGGGGCCCGAGAACACCAGCGCCACGTTGAGCGGCCGCGCCCCGCCCGTGCCCCCGCCGGCCGCGCCCGGCCCCGGCACCTCCTCCGGGAACGGGCTGGCGCACGCCAGCGCCAGCAGCAGCAGCATCTTAGCGGGGCCCCGAGGGCCGCGGGGGCCACCGGCGCCGCGCATCGCCTGCGGACCCCGCTGGGCGGCCTCTGCGTGGACGGGAGGCGAGGGCAGAGCCCGAGGGGAGGCACAGGAGAGACGGGGCGAGAGGGGCAGGTTGGGTGATGGAGAGAGGGAGGGGCAGACACGGAGGGAAACAGAGATGAGGGACAGAGATAAGGGGAGACCGAGACAGAGGGAGGAGACAGATCGAGAAACAGAGATTGGGAAGGTGACAGAGACAGTGGAAGTAAGGAAGACGCAGAGTCAGGGTGAGAAGGGAAAGTTGGGTGACCGGAGAGGAAGAAGCATAGAAACAGATGAAAAGGGAGAGACAGGAGGATTTGGAGAGATAAAAAAGGGAGAGGCAGAAGACAGACACAGACCAGAGACGAGAAGAGACAGCGGGAAAGGCAATGGAGGGAGTGGAAGGGAAAGATGGAATCCAAATAGAGGGAGGGGTGGGGGGTGAGATAGAGGAATTGGATGTGGGAGCCAGGAGACACAAAGGGGGGGGGGGGGGGGGGGGGGGGGGGGGGGGGAGGAAGAAATGGGGTCAGAGAAGATTCAAGGTAAGGGGTGGGGGCAGAAGACAGGGATGGAATGGACAATGATCATATAGATGGGAAAGAGTCCCAAAGATGGGACAAAAACAATAAACAAACAAACAAACAAAAAACCAGGAACAGAACCAGAGTGAGTGCAAAGGAGAGGATAGAGATGGAAGGAGAGGCTCAGAGGGACACAGACCCCAGAGAGGGAGCAAGAGAGAGGGTTAGAGTGAGGCAAGAAGAGGTGCAGAGATGAATACAGGGAAGCCGAGAGATGAGAAAGTTGGGGGTGTAGAAGGCAAGCCAGGAATTGGAAGGCAGGGACCCACAGCCACCCAGAGTCAGGCACACACCAACCTCAGGAAGAAGGAATGGAGATGGAGGAAGGCAAGCAGAGCAAATGGAATACAGAGAAGACAGAAATAGCGAGGCAAGGCAAAGACCCAGACCCCCACCCGGGAGGTGCCCAGCACAGACATGAAAGCAAGGCAGAGCCAGGTGGCAGACAGAGTGAAAATAAAAGGAAGAAAGTAAGGGGGGGGGGAATGAGATAGGGAAAAGGGGTCAGGTGTGTGGAGAGAGAAAGAGGGGAGAAATTAGTGGGATATTCAAAGAGAAAATGCCCACCACCCTAAGCCATTCTTAGCCACCTCCGCCTGTCCCTGCCCCCTCTTTTTCATTCTTGATGAAACTGAGTCACAGGCCGGTCTTGGGGTTGGGGGCACAGCTGTGGGAAGCTGGGGGTGGGTCCCCTGGCTTCCAGACCAGAGCAATTTAGTAAATTAAAGGAAGAAGAGTGTGGCCTCCAGTGGCCCCTGGTGAATACCAGTTGCTTGGGGTGGGTGGGCTAGGATCCCAGGGTTCTGGTACAGATCTGTGGAGGCGGCTCTGGGGGCCTCATCTCTGCTCCCATAAAGCACTGGGGGCTTCTTGAATAAGTCAGGGTCCAGATACTGAAGGGTTCTCTCTTGGCTGTCAGTCTTCTGTCTGGTTGCCATGGTAGCACAGGCTGGTCAACTCTAGACAGCAAGGGTTGGGGCAAAGGCCCACACCCCCTACCCTGCCTGGAAACCTCATCTTCCAAATTGCCACCCCATCTTTCTGGAGGTTCTGGGCTCTGTCTCCCCAGGGAAGGGGGTGCCCCTCCTGCAGGCCATGCCTCCTCCTGTCCCTCCTCTCCACTGTCTTTCCCTCCCCAAGCAGCTGGTTCAGTCCGTGCTCAGAATAGCCCCCCTCCCTTCCTCCCCAAAATAACGCACAGCTGTGGCCTGGCCCCCGCGGGGTTAATACTGGCTCTCCTCTCCCTTCCTGGTGGCGTCAGCCCCCTCTTTCCTTCACTTCTCAGACCCTGGCCTCTGCTCTTCTAGAGTCCAAGGTCCTTGTCACTGTGAGGTCTACAGGGCAGCCTCAGCCCCACCCCTGTCAGGAGGCAATGCTTTCCCATAAAGGGTTCTTGAGGGCACCTTTTCTACCGAGCCCTCTTACCCCAGTATCGGTTCTCTGAGGCAAAGTCCATACCAACCTCCACCTCATGAGTTTAGCCTTCTACTTCCATTCCACAGGGGCCTAAGAAGCGGCTAACCCAGCCTCCCCTGCCAGGAGCCCTAGCCCCTGTCTCTCATAGTTGCCCTCCCTACATTCCTGCCTGAAGAGCCGGCCTGGCAGGTACCTCACCCCTCACTGTGGTCCACTCATTTCTTTTTCAGGACCCTGGCCTCCTCCTGCCCCCACACCTGGGAATCTTGGTTCCTGTCTTGTTCTCCTTTAAGGAGCCCCCCCACCCCTCTTTTCGCCTCAGACCCCATCAGTCCCAACCTCCTTGCTGCCCATTAGCTCTGGCCTTCCCAGTTGTTTCTCTCATATCTTGTCCACAGCATAAGGAGGAAGGGGTCTGTGTCTCCATTGCCCCCTAATCAATCATGAGAATGGGGAGAGGCTTTGATCAACAGCTCCCGATCACTGTGCTGCAGAAAGCTTCCTGTCTTCCACTGCGTGCGCGCACACACACACACACACACACACACACACACACACACACACTCACACTCACACTCACACACACTCATACTCCTAACTCCCATCTCAATCCTGGAAGGACATTCCAGAACCTTGGGGAAGGGGTGTCTGCTTAGGGCTGGGTACTGGTCACTGGACGCCCTCAAGGTCCTTGGCAGGGGTATTAATAGCAGACTCATAGCTCTGAGGTGGGAGGGGAAAGCAAGAGGAGAGAGGGATAGCCAGCCATAGGGAGACTGCTGCAGGGAGGGGTGTAGAGAAGGTGAGGTGAGAGATTGACAGAGTGGGATTCGGCTGTGCGCAGCTGGGGACAGGGTACAGTGTCGGGAACAGGAAGCTTGGGTGGCTTTGAGGTGTAGAAACCTAGGAAAGGGGCAGAGCGCGCGCACGAGCAGATGGAAGACTGTCCCTGAGGGACAAGAGGCAGAGACATTTGGGTTTGCTTGCATTAAAACCCCTTCCTTCCTTGGGGTCCCTGGCCAACTTTCCCTGCCCTAAATTGGAGGGGGCTAAATCCCCATCCCCACCCCTGCATCCCCTGCCCAGCCTTACCTTTTCATGACCCTGTTCTTTGGGGGGAATTGCTGGGGGGTCAGGACCAGCGTCCAGAGACCCAAAGATTCCGTGGAGTGTTGGGGAGCTGGTTGGGGCCAGGCCCAGGGCGGCAGCAGCGGCAGGAGTGGCGGCAGGAGTGGCGGCAGCGGCGGCAGCAGGCGGCAGTGGCGGGGACCTTTCGCCTGTCCCGGCTCTGTCCCTCCTCTTCTTGATCCTGCCCTGCCCTGTCCCCCAAGGTTGCGGCCACCAGACTAGGCAAGGGTGAGGCTACACATGTTGCGCTGGAAGTTGGGGCCCGGACATTGCGGAGGCTGTCGGGGTGTCCTCTTGCGGCCTGACCCCGTGGGGATCCCCGCCACCCACCTGGGGTGCCCCCCTCTGCCGGCTTCAGTCCGGGCTCCTCCCCTGGCTGGCATGTCCCATCACCTCTCCCTAGCTTATTGGCACCCCTTTGTGCTCTCGGCACCCCCCTCCCTTGTCTCTGTCTGTCTGTCTGGGTCACCTCTGCAGCCAGTAGCTCGTGTGTGTTTGTTTAAGGAGCGTGAGGTTGCCTATCAGGGAAACTGCTTGCCCATTCCTTGCTTGGCCACCTCCAGACCCCCCCTTAGTGCCCCCACTCTCAAGCACAGGCAGAAACACACATGCACACGCTCACACACACACTCTCACTTCCCTGGGATTCCCCCTCAACACCCCCGGAGCTTGATGAGGGAGACACACACACACACACACACACACACACACACACACACACACACTCGCGAAGGGCCCCAATAGGGCGCGTTGTCGTTGCTCTCAGTAGCTGCTTGGACAGACAGGAGGACACAGGCATCCGGGGACACACAGACACTCGGCTGGATGCAGGCAGGAGGACAGAACCCAGGTGCACACCATTCATCCAGGTTTGGGGGCTCAGGGAACCGACTGGGGGCCGTGAGGTGCAGGCACGAGGCTCGGGTTCAGACAGGCAGACCCCCTCCTCCCTCAGCTACCGCCGCTGCAGCCCTTACAGACACACCCCCCCCACCAGCCAGCCTGACACCAAGACACACATCCTCACCTAGCAGATGGCTGTAGCACGAGAGACCCCTGGGGGCCAGGCGGACCCACCCAAGCTGATACCCCTCAACAGGGCGCTGCTGGCCGAGGAGGTTGCGGGCGCGGGCGGAGGGTGGTTGGTAGCGGCGGCGGTGGCGGCGGCAGCGGCGGCGGCAGCGGCCAGGGCTTGCAGGAGCCAGAGCGGGAGGGACTCGGCACACTCGCTGTGTTCTCGCACACTCACTCAGGATGCGATTAACATTCAGTCCCCGTCCCTCCCTGCCAGGAGACCCACAGCCCCCCCCCCTTGGCTTCCCTAGGGACCCCTCCTCCCATTAGGGCTGAGGAGGGGGGCCCACTCCTTACCCCATTTCAAAGCCTCTGTTTTCTTTATGGGACATGGGGCTGAGGGACTGCGATGAAACGGGAGGAAGAAAAGGTGGGTGGACAAGGACACTGCATGGTCCAGGCAGTCTGGGACCTAGAGAGACGGCCGGGGACTCACTGCCGCTTGTCCCTTCCCTCTTCTGGAGTTCAACATCCACCATGCTGAGACCCAGCCTGCGAGTTCCCTGGCCCAGAGGCAGGATGGAAGCTGGATGTCTGTCATGGAGCCAGGAGTCTAGACTCCAAGTCCCTTATCCTCCGTCCCAGATGCCCAGAGGCCAGCACAGCTCCCTCAGGCCCAGGGCACTAGAGCCTAGTTGTCCTCCCCTAGACTGATGGGGTGGGATCCCAGCTCTACCACAGACTGCAGCCCTCTTCCTGTAAGCCCATGGGGCTAGGCTCCCAACCCCCTCCTCCCTCAGACCTGGATGTCCACATTCAGCCCTTCTCTCTCAGGCCAGGTGTCCAGACTCTGGCACTCTTTCCTGTGACCCAGAGGTGTAGATCCTAGCCATCCTCCCTCCCCCATGGCTCCAGACCCTCCCTGAATTCCACACCTTGACTCTCTTCTCTCAGATTTGGGGATCCAGTGTCTGGCCCCGTTCTCTCAGAACAGGACTCTAGATACCAGCCCCATTTCTCAGACCACAGGTCAAGAACCTTAGCCCTTCTTTCTTATATGGGGGAATCCTGAGCAAGTCCCTCACTGAAGGCCCACCCGATCATTGAGGGACAAGTCCTTCACAGCCTCGAGCTCTGTCCCTGTCTGTTTTTCGGCAGAAATAGCAATCCTAAACAACCCTATGTTTGAGGTCCCAGAGGTCCCATAAAGTCACCTGTCTACTTTGCCTCTGGTAGGACAGTCCTTAGCATCTGTAACACTGGGGGGAGTGTGCTTCAGGACTCTTGAACCCCTGAGGATGGAAGCTGGGGGTGGGGAAAGACAGATGGGAGGGGATGAAAGAAGAGAGGGAAGAGAGAGAATACGAATGTGAAGAGGGGAAGAATTCTGGAGCAGGGGCTGGTCCTAGGCCTATAGCAATCTTACCAGACTTCTGCCCTCATGCCCACTATTGCAGCCCAGCTTCCCATGCCCTGAGATCTGGGAGGTCACAGGTCATGCTGTTTCTGAAAGAGCCAGGACCTAACATGTTGGGTCTTAGAAGGAGGATGAGATTATGGATGTAGATCCCCAGGTTAGAATGTTGAGTAGTGAAGTGATTGCCAAGGAAGGGATGGTAGAGGCAGTAGGCTCAGTCTGGGTCCCTGGGTGCGGGGCAGGAGGGCCTGGGTCTTCTCGCTGAACTGGGACTGGAGATCGCAGAGGAAGGCGGAAGTCTACCCCGAAATCTCCAGGACTGTTGTTGTTGCTATTAGTAATAGTAGTACTGATAATTTGTGCGGGAACAGATTGTCACTGTGGAGGCCTGAGCCTGGAACTGGGTCTTCTGCCTCACCCCCCAGTGCTAAGATTACAGGCTTAGTCGTGGCCCAAGGCGGCTCTAGGAGCTTTAGAGTTCAGAACGCAAATTCCTGGATTCCCGCTAAGGGCACAGGCCGGGAGGACTCTCTCCATTTCCTTACTAGAGAGAAGGCACCTGGGAATGTGGGATCCGAAAGACCCTTCTACCAATTTACAGAAGGCAGAGGAGAGCTTATTCGGTACGACTCTGCAAGGCCGGTGGCAGGCGACAGGGGGCGCCAGAGCCTCGGTCAGCCCTCGGGGTGGAGCTCCAGCCCAGACTCCTCCCTTTCCACCCTCGGCCCTCCTCCCTTTTCTCCCTGCCAGCTCTGCCACCAGCTCCGGCCTCGGCTCACCTCCCCGAGCCCCCTCCCCGGAGCCCAGCTACCGAAGGGCTCCTCTCCCGCCCTCAAGCCAGCACCACCGCAGCCCCGGGGCAGCCCGGCCAGCCAGCCTCCCCCCGCCTCAGCCCTGCCCGAGCCCCCCAGTCATGAATCTCTTCCGATTCCTGGGAGACCTCTCCCACCTCCTAGCTATCATCTTGTTACTGCTCAAAATCTGGAAGTCCCGATCGTGTGCGGGTGAGAGGCCCCCCCGCGGAGAGGGGGCGGGAGCGGGCCGCTCTGGGGCACCGGGAAGGCTTGGAGCTCGGCAGGTCAGGGTCCTCCCGAGCTGCCTGTTGGGGATCACTTTTCTAGATCTAGGGTCGCCAGGGGGTCAGCTCCCTTCCCTAGACTAAAAGGTGCACATAGTTTGGTGGGGGTGCCTATGGGCACTCAGTTCAACCTTCTCTGTGGGACAGCTGTGGGTGTTCCGGGGCTGGGAACCAGGAGCCATGGAAGGCGGGGAGGTGGCTGGGAGTTGGTGACGTGGACTGTGAAGGCCAGGAAGGGAGCGGGAGGAAGGTGACTGGCTGGGAGACTGAAGTCAGGCAGGGCTCTAACTAGGGCCCAACGTAGATCCCGAGTGTCTGGGGACCCTGAAGGAGACAGGGGTACCGGCGAGGCCTAGCCTGGGATGGAGCCTCGGTCTGTAGTATTTTTGGGGCCGGCTGCCCCCTGGCTGTGATGGTAGGAAAACGGCCGCGCTCAGGCTTCAAGGCCTTTGGGAACCGCTGTGTTCTAGAGCTCTAGTCTGGCCTAGGAGCTGCACGTTAGTTTATTGGCCAAGTAGCCACCACCAGCTCCCCCAATCCTGCCCCCTCGATCTCTGTCTCAACCAGGCATTTCAGGGAAGAGCCAAGTCCTGTTTGCTGTGGTGTTCACTGCCCGATATCTGGACCTGTTCACCAATTACATTTCACTCTACAACACCTGCATGAAGGTACAGTTGCAGTCAGTCCCCTGTGGTGGGGTTTCAGGCCAGAGATAAGGGAGGAGTCAGTAAAGATGCTTGGGCCAGGACATCTGGTCTGAGGGAGGAGGGCTGGAGGTCTGGACATGTGGTCTGAGGGAGGAGGGCTGGAAACCTGATTTCCCATATCCGAGCCTATAGATGGAGGCCCTCCTGTTAGCTGAGATGGCCTGTCACCCTCTCTTCATCAGGTGGTCTACATAGCTTGTTCCTTCACCACTGTGTGGATGATCTACAGCAAGTTCAAAGCTACTTACGATGGGAATCACGACACTTTCCGGGTGGAGTTCCTCGTTGTTCCCACGGCTATTCTAGCGTTCTTGGTCAACCATGACTTCACCCCACTGGAGGTAGGTTTCCGCTGGGGCTGTGGAGTAGTGATGGCAGGGTCTGAGAGCAGGCCCTCTCAGCTGCCTTCCTCTGTCGGGTTTGCTGAGGTTTCCCACTCGGGAGCTACACGCTGAGCCTGGGTCCATGGAGGCAGACAATGTGAGCACAGCCACAGCACTGCACACCACGCCCTGCTCCGTGCCAGTTAGTGTACACCGGCAGGCTAAGTTCAGAGAGTAGCACCCCATTTTCAGAGGAGGAAGCTGATCGTGGAGTCCTGAGGGCACCTGGTCCAGTAAGGACTGGATGGACCGAGGGGTTAGGAATGGCAAGCAGGGCTCTAGAATGAGGCCACTTGAATCTGAATCCCAGATCTACATTTTACCTTTTGTTGCTTTCCCACCAAGAAGTGTTGGAGATGAAGTCTAGGGCCTTGGGCATACCAGGCTAATGCTTTGCCCTAAAGCCACACTGTCAGTCATTGGTTTTTTGTTTTTGTTTTTGTGTTTTTGTTTTGTTTTGTTTTTTTTTTTTTTTGAGATAGGGGCTTACTATGGTTCAGAAGCTGGCCTGGAACTTGCAATCCTCTTGCTTCAGTGTCTGGATTATAGGTGTATGTCACATCCCTTGATTGGGAACTATTTCTCCTGGGATGGATTCAGCCTGTGATGTCTTTTCTCTACCTCATTCTCTACCCTTTGTGAATGGGTCATATATGAGGGTGACTGAGTTCAGGGTTGCCTGTTGGTGGTACACAGAGGCTCCGGAGCTGATGTACAGGAATTGGAGGCTTGCTTCTTCAACTGGACAATGGTGGTACTATGGTCAAGTGTATACCTGTTTTTGTAAACTGGGGTAAGCTGGGGCTGGAGATGGCTCAGCTGTTAAAGGCTAAGAGCTGAAAGTACGTACAGCCAAAAGGGCAAAATGAAGTCCCTATGTCTTAGCACCCTTTTGTGTGGTGCAGGATGGAGCCCTGCCCCTGTGCACTCAGCGCATCAGCCCTCTTAGCTGTAGAGGGAGGTTGATGTTTATGGAGTCACGTCTGGTGTGAGGTGGGGAGGACCAAGCCAGCATTTGTTGAGGGACTGGCTAGCCCATGAATGATATTCCCCTCCAGGTGATAGCTTCAACAGCTGTAATATGGGAGTCCTCAGACAAGGTCTAGCTTCAAAGTTGTAGCCACATATTCAAAATATATTTTTTTCCTTCTTCCTCCTCCTCCTCCTCTTCCTCTTCTTCTTCTTTTTCTTCTGTTCCCATAGAGAGTGTCAAAAATTATCAATGCCAACTATATTTCAAGTTGTCATGGTGGAGTATTGGGAAAAAAATTTTTCTTTTTTCTTTTCTGGTTTTTCGAGACAGGGTTTCTCTGTGGCCCTGGCTATCCTGGAACTCACTCTGTAGACCAGGCTGTCCTCAAACTCAGGGATCTGCCTGCCTCTGCCTCCTGAGTGTGAGCTGGGATTAAGGTGTGTGCCACCACCACCAGGTGGGGAAAGTTTTCGATTAGCAATAATCGCAGCTTAGATAAATCTCTTGGCTATGATATTGCCACTTTGCAAAGTAACATATATTTCTAAAAGCTCTATGCGGGCTAAAGTCAACATTGGCCCATAGGCCCCCAGAATTTCCAGAAGGAGGCGACTGCTGTGGAGGGAG